CTGGAGCCAGCCTGTGGTGGAGCCTCCTCTGCTCCTGCCCCAGCAGGGGAGGACTCAGCAGTGAGTGTCAGCTCACTGCCCAGCTCACTGCCTCACCGGGGACCTGCCTGCACTGCCCAGCAAGCCTTACCTCCACAGAGCTCAGCCACAGAAGGGCCATCTCCTGCAGCCCCCGACTGCCCATCTCCAGCTAGCACAGCTGCATTCTGCCACACTTCAGAGCTCTGGCACTGGCTCATGGCATCCCTAGGCTGTCTGAGCTGTTTTGGATCACTCAGCTGTGGGTCCTCCCACCACTTGCATCCAGCACCAGGACAAAGTATGTACGAGAGCACATCAGCAAACTTGAGAATAGCCCAGCAGTGCCTTCCTCAGAAGAGAGACTGCAACATGTCCCATCATCCAAACCTAGAACCATTAATGCAACTGACAAACCGCTTCTCAGCTGTGAGGCCCTGGGCACAGGCAAGTAGAACAGAGGAGAGCAGAGATGGTCTCCACTCCTTCTCAGAGGTGCCATTCCCCACATATCAGCCCTGGGTAGTCCAGCCAAGCCAAAGCTAGGAGTCCAGGGACACCCCTTTCCCTCCACACAGCCAAAATGGATAGAGACCCAGGAAAACATCTAACCACAGCCAGGAGGACTCACAGTACTGCCTCAGCAAAATGGGAAGCACCAAAGCTGATGCTTGCAAAAAACAGGGAGCTCAGATGCAGAACTGCAAAGCAGACCCTTCAGAAGACACCTCAACTCTGATGGTGATCAAAACGCCCAATTTCTCCAAGCATAAAATGATAACTGACAGGATAATAAAGCCTCTTGACTCATCTTTCATCAACAGCCCGGACTAGAAGGAGAACACACGTTGCACATCAATCTGACCTGCTGCTCCAGGCCCATCCGTGCATTTGGGACGGTCGGCAGCACCAAGCAAACTCATCCTCTCAGCTTATGAAGACACATGGAGAGGTTGGGAATCATCCCTCAACATATAAAAGCCCAGTCCCTCTCCAATCACACTACCCACTCTTCTTCTCCAGCCTGATGGTTCAGATACAGCATCCCGAACCCCAGGGAGCACAGCAGCAAAGCGCCATATCTTAAAGGCAGATAATGAGCTGTTGGGCAACATCCCCATCACTGGGAACACTCAGGCCTTGTGGCATCCTGCAATTAGAGTTGCATTTTGGCATGCCTCTGCAGAGGCATTCTAGGGATTCCAGCTGCCTTGTCTGTAACATGAAGGGCAACGTGCTCTGGGGTTGCCAGACAGGTCACTGTCTGCTCACGCTTGGCTTTCCTGGTGTAGGTACCCATTGGCAACGCATGTCAGCTCTGCATGCAGCAGCAGGCACAGAGATGACCATGTGGCCTAGAGGAGGTGGCACAACCATGTCTGGGTTGAAAGGGTATAGGCAGAGGTCACCCAGGAAAGAAATACCAGGTTCACGTGACATTGATGGTCTGACTTTTATCAGCGTGGAGATTCCAGGATTTGAAATCCAAAGGGTGCAAAGCAAACCTCACACAGGCAGGCATGCCAATCTGCTCTCCATGATGGCTCTGTGTCCACAGGCCCTTTCAACCACGTGTTTTACAGCCCCATCACCTCTCCTGCCAGGAGAGCAATGGTGGGGGAAAGGGAAGGGTCCCCATATCTGTATCCCAGCCTCCTACTCACAACGGGACTGCTGCCAGCAGCCGTGGCTCTGTCTAGCCAAGGTAGACTCATGTCACTGCAAAACAGCAGCCAGGGAAAAGCCAGGTGGAGGAGAACAAGCATAACCAGCCTGGCATGTGGGACAATCACCCCTGAGCCAGCAATTATTGTATTAACGGTTTCTGATCCCAGCCCCAGTGCACTACTTAGTGAGAAGAAGAGACTGGGGTTGCACCTGGGTATACTTCTCCCATATCTCTCACGGATGAGATATTGAACTTCTCCGCTTTCTGTCTGATGGGGAAAACAGGACAGTCAGCATGGGAGATGCAAAAGGTCACAGCCCAGATCCTCTCTTCCTTGAACCACCCCATGGACCCTCAAAGAGCTTACTGAGAATCTGGAACTCCCCCCTCTTCTCCTGGTGGGATGTGGGTTTGTGCATCAAAGACAGAATCACAGAATCACCATGGTTGGAAAGGACCTCTGAGATCATCAAGTTCAACCTTAAAAAAACAAACAAACAAACAACAAAAAAACCCCTAAACAACAACCAAAAAACTCACAAAACACAACACCCCACCACATCACACCCACCCACAAACCAATAATCTCGGGCACTAGAGCATGCCCTGAAGAGCCACGTCTACACGTTTCTTAAATCCCTCCAGGGATGGTGACTCCACCACCTCCCTGGGCAGGCTGTTCCAGTGCCTGACCACTCTCTCAGTAAAGTAATTCTTCCTAATATCTAATCTAAACCTCCCCTGCCCCAACTTCAGACCATTTCCTCCGGTCCTGTCATTATTCCCTTGGGAGAAGAGACCAACACCCACCTCTCTACACCCTCCTGTCAGGGAGCTGTAGAGGGGAATGAGGTCTCTCCTCAGCCTCCTCTTCTCCAAACTAAACATGCCCAGTTCCCTCAGCCTCTCCTCGTATGACTTGTTCTCCAGACCCTTCACCAGCCTGGTGACTCTCCTCTGGACACACTCCAGCAGCTCAATGTCCTTCCTGTAGTGAGGGGCCCAGGACTGGACACAGTCTTCGAGGTGGGGCCTCACCAGTGCCCAGTACAGAGGCACGATGACTTCTCTACTCCTTCTGGCCACCCTGTTCCTGATACAGGCCAGGATGCTGTTGGCCTTCTTGGCCACCTGGGCACACTGCTGGCTCATGTTCAGCTGGCTGTCCACCAACACTCCTAGGTCTTTTTCTGCTGGGCAGCTTTCCAGCCACTCTTCCCCAAGCCTGTAGTATTGCCTGGGGTTGTTGTGACCAAAATGCAGGACCCGGCACTTGGCCTTATTGAACCTCATCCCGTTGGCCCTGGCCTATTGATCCAGTCTGCCCAGATCCCTCTGTAGAGCCTTCTGACCCTCAAGCAGATCAACACTCCTACCTAGTTTGGTGTCATCTGCAAACTTACTGAGGGTGCACTCAATCCCCTTATCTAGATCATCAATAAAGATATTAAACAAAACTGGCCCCAAAACTGAGCCCTGAGGGACACCACTGGTGACTGGTCGCCAACCGGATTTCACCCCATTAATCACAACTTGCTGGGCACAGCCATCCAGCCAGTTTTTTATCCAGTGAAGGGTACACTTGTCTATGCCATGATTCACCAATTTCTCCAGGAGAACGCCGTGGGAGACGGTGTCAAAAGCCTTACCAAAGTCCAGGTGGACAACATCCACAGCCTTCCCCACATCGAGAAAGCGGGTCACATGGTCATAGAAAGAGATAAAGTTGGTTAAGCAGGACCTCCCTTGCATAAACCCATGCTGGGTGGCCCTGATCCCTTGCCTGCCCTGCGCTTGCTGTGAGAGCTCTCCCAAGATGGTCCTCTCCATGATCTTTCCCGGTACTGAGGTCAGGCTGACAGGCCTATAGTTTCCCAGATCCTCCTTCCCGCCCTTCTTGTAGATGGGCGTCACATTGGCCACGCTCCATTCATCTGGTACCTCTCCTGTTGACCAGGATTGTTGATAGATAATGGTGAGAGGCTTGGTGAGCTCTCCCGCCAGCTCCCAGAGTACCCTTGGGTGAATCCCATCCGGCCCCATAGACTTACGCGTGTCCAGGTGTATAAGCAAATCATTGACTACTTCCTCCTGGATTACAGGGGATTTGTTCTGCTCACCATCCTTATCTTCCAGCCCAGGAGGCTGAATACCCTGGGGGTAGCTGGTCTGACAATTAAAGACAGAGGCAAAGAAGGCATTAAATATCTCAGCCTTCTCCTCGTCCTTGGTCGCAATGTTTCCCCCCTCATCCAGTAAGGGATGGACATTCTCCTTGACTCTCTTTTTGTTGACGTATTTGTAGAAACTTTTTTTGTTGTCCCTTATATTAATGGCCAGGTTGAGTTCCAGCTGGGCTTTTGCCTTCCTAATTTTTTCTCTGTATAACCTAACAAGATCTCTGTACTCCTCCTGAGTTGCCTGTCCCCTCATCCAAAGGTGGCAAACCATCCTTTTTTCCTTAAGTCTCAACCAAGAGCTCTTTGTTCATCCAGGCCGGCACAATAGGCACAAGACCAAAGCACAGTAGGACCTGTTGCCAAGCCAGGGCTTGTGGGGCCCTGGGACTGCAGGCTCACAGTTCACACGTCTTTGACTATGGTTCCTGCATGTAAGATAAATCTGAAGTATTGGCCACAAACATTGTTTTCAAAATTGTCTCCCCATGCCACAGCCCTGCTCATACCTTCCCTGGTCATTTACTACCAGCCACCTCTGGAGACATGTCTACCCTGGCCATACTGCTGTGCCCTTGATTTTGAGATGCTTTTGGCTGTGACTTTCACGGCAGCAAAGACATTAAGTAAGAAAGTTTCCTCCTGTCTGTGGGTTATGTAGGTCCCAGGAACCACAACTCTGACAGGGGACTCCCAGTTGGTGCCTTGATCTGAACAAGCAACAAATGTGCTTTGCCAGCAGCAGGACTCTGCAGGACAACCAGCAAGTCAGGCTCTTTGCAGGCAGCTTCAAGTCCAAAGCTTGTGATACAACAGGTCATCTGGGTTAGAAGAAAGCCCAGACCAGGACCAAAGGGGAACCCCCTCATTTCACAGTACAACAGTACAACAACTCAAGTCAGGCTGCATCATTTCCAGGGCCAAACCAGACTGACTGGAGAAGACCCTTTTCACACACAGTGGCAGCATCTACTCCATGGATGCTGAGTTATTCTTGAATTAGGCCAACAGCACAAACGCCACCATCCTCCCTGAGTAATGGACCAGCCCATTCCATGCAGGGGTAGGATCTCTTGCACCAGTTCCTGCTCTGAGCCAGTAACTGCAGGCCATGGAGATGCTCTGCCCTGTTTACCATGGACCAAGCTTATCCACAGCCCTGGAAGGACAGTGTCGCCTTGGTTGAAGGAGCTCAAGGAGTGAACGTCCAGGTGCAGAATCAACCCAGTAGAAGACAGAATGGGTCACAAAGTTGCGACTGTTGGGGTGGTATCATTGTTTAGCAGAATATTTCCTCTTCAGTGCAAAATACCTCTGGCTTGGACCCATGCTTACTGTGGTGTTCACTAACAGAATTGTTCTTTGATTGTTTTCCTAAATTAAAATGCTCACATGAAAGAGCAGGATGTGGCACCTTGCAAGAGCTTCATTTAATTACAGGGCCTTTGGGTACCATTCCCCACACCCAGGCAAGGTCCTGGAGGAAGTGGGCTGGTTTTGTAACTCAGTGCAAGGCTGTAACCACTCACACCATGTTTCTTTGAGCACAAATGTCATACCAAATTCAGGGTTTATGGTACAGTCCAAGCAATCCAAAAAGCAGAATTTATTGACCTGAAGATTTGTCCTGTAGCCTTTTTCTAAACTCTTCTACAGCAGCTTGTGCAAACCAGAGTGTGTATCTCTAGTGCTTCTGGTGGATATAGCATATTCAGCAGAGAAGGTTTAGTATTTTGAAAAATGTGGAGAGGACACAGTGAAAAACTAGTTTGGGGTAGTTTTTTGAGTCACCTGGAGTTCTGAAGAAAGTTCAATGTCCAGGGCTGGACCTGCCCCTTGGCCAACGCAACATGCCACAGCCACACATCCCACTGCCCAGGAAGGAGCCTGGGAGGGAGCTGCTCTATGACTCACAGCCCAGCATCCAGGGGACAACTGGCTGTCTGTGAAGTCAACACCATCTTTCCATACTGCCGCCAACCTTCAGTGGCTTGAAAAATATCTTCAGAGGGAGGGGAGAGAGGTCATGCCCTGAGGCTTCTGGGTTGGGTTGTGGTCTTTTTTTCAGTAACAGACTTTGCACTCTGCTACTGACAAACCAGAAAAACCTGAGTTCAAGTTTTTTTGCTAAATGAAACTCAACAGCAAAGATGTTGAAGAAGAAACATCTTGCCTGGTCTATATCAGAAGGAACACAAAAAAGCTTTATAACCAGCTGAAAAACACATACAACTTGTGAAGGAGCTAATTTCTCCCCCTCCTGCTCCTCCACAGCTGCAGAGCAAAGAAATGCAGAGCCAGACAGGGCATCCTGGTGATGTTGCTGGCTGGCAGCAGCCTCTGAGGGTCTGTGGTCCAGCCTCAGCCCCCATCAGTGCCAACTTCACAGCTGCAGCAGGTTGTTGAGAAAGCCTCTGCCTGGCTTCAAAAAGCCCTCAAAAGGAGCTCCTTGCTGACTCTTTTTTTGCTGCGATTCCCTTTCCTAGTGTGGACTTATCTACACTGGAGGCTGGTCTCCTCGACGAATGGCCGAGGCTGGCCGAGTGACAGGGAGGCTGAGAAGGAGATAGACAGCTGTTCACAAGTGCAGTCTGCAGTGGACCCACATCCCACAGCCAAACAACTAAAAACTCCCCCACCAGCACACACTGAAGGGAAAAGGGGCCGGTAGCACAGAAGAATGGAAGTTTGTGACAGCATGGACGAGCATGAGGAAGAGGCTTCCCCCAAATCTGTGATGTCCATGCAGAACCTCTTCACAGATCTGCAGACTGAAAGAGGAAAGACTCACTGCATCAGAAGAGGTGCTGGAGCTGGATAAGGCAGCCCAATCTGCTTGTGTACCAAGCACCACAACTAAGAAAAGGTGACAGTTGAGAGTTGTAGGCAACTCTCTTATGAGAAGTACAGAGGCACGCATTTCCCAGCCTGACGCAGTCTCTGGGGAGGTGTGCTGCTTACCAGGGGCTCATGTCAGCGATGTCAACAAAAAACTACCAAACCTCATACAGTCCTCTATAAAAGGACTCTGTAAGCTCTGTAAAAGCTTCTTGGCTTTTAAGCTTGGAATTCTTAATTTTTATCTCTATTTTTTAAATGGATTGTTAGTTGCTTTTAGACAGATAAGAGAAATATATTCTTTCTCCAGCGGTGACCTTCACTTTCAAGCCTGGAAGTCTGGATTGTGCTGCAGTGCTGAGCCTAACAAATCCCTTAGACCATCTCTCTCCTTAGCTGACACTTGGTACACACTGCTTGTCACATCTCTTCCCCATTCAGGGTCAGATGCTGGCCTGAGCTGGCAGCTTCCTTCTACAACCTTCTGCCTGGCTGGGGATGCCAACATAGCCCAGACGTCCCACCAGCTGCAGGCTGCAGCATGCACAGGTCTCCTTTCAGCAGATGGCAGATAAGCCTGCCAGCAAGAAAATGCTGATGCTTTGAGATCTGATTGTGGCTGTTTTTCCTGACTCGCTCATGCCTTAATAGTCTGTGTAGTAATTCATCCCAAATTCAGGTCATTCTAAGGGCCTCCCAGCTTGATTTTATCAGTGCTGTGGGAAAGGTGGGTGGTATGCCTTGGTGCTGCAGCGCTGGCGATAGTGAGATACCATCTGGAAGTGGTGTAAAAAGGGGTGAGGGGGCAGGGGAGGGGGGCAAATCTGCACCCCAGTGGTGCACAAAGCCTCAGCAGATGTACTGAAGACTCTGGAGAGTCTTCACCCCCAGCAAGAGCTGTGTCATGGTCTGCATGCTGGAAATCTCCGGGAGCAGCTTGCTGAAGACTCAGCTCCTGCTTTGCCCTCTCTCCACCAGACTCAAGTAATAAGCGAAGTAACATGGCCCCGGACTTGTTGCAACGACCAGGAGTGTCCATTGTTCCACCACGAGTCTCTCTGACATCCTGTCTCCAAAAGGAAGGCAAGTTATTTTGGCTTTAATATCTGCTGCAAGGAAGGAGGAGTAATTTCTTGTCTCAGCATACTTGATCCTGTTTTTCCACCTTTCCTTGCAGGGGAAAGGTCTGAGTCACCGCTCATGTGAGCCAGGCTGGGAGGGCTTCTGGCACTGCCTACAGCTAGTCTTTAGTAAAGACCAGTCATTACAGCTTCAAATCTAAGTGGAATTATTTAGGCTTTCCAAAGAATGTATGTTTGCATTTCAGCAAGCGTGGCTTGGCCAGACCTGGGAGGTCTCAACACTGGGAGAAGAGACAAGAGCCCACAGCATGCAAAGTCAGAACAGGGTTGCTGCAGAGTGCCAGTGCTTGGGCACATTGTCAAGGCGCCGAGAGGCGTCCTCAAAGGCAGCACTGCCAAAAATGACACCCACAGCCCATGCCACCCCTTGTCATCCCTGCAGGGATGGCCAAAGGCTGGCCAGAGACTGGGAGGAGGTGCAGTCTGTGGGAGAAGTGCAGGATGGGCAAAAACACATAATGAGGGCTGTGAAAAGCAGACATACAGATCATTGCCCAGATGGATGTAACTGAAAATTGGGTGGGCACAGATAGCCAGCAGAGAAAGTCACCTCTCGCTGTGATCCTGATGGGCATCATTTGTGCTTAGTAAGAGAAGACATGTCCTCCCACCATGCACTCCATGGCTGGTGGAAGAAAAAGATAGCTTCATCCCCAGCTTCTTCCCTCCCTGGGGATGGATTTCTTTTTTGTTTTTTAAAGAGCAGTCATTTAATGACATTTCCAGCAGTCATTACGGGGACTGGGAGGTTTTGCATTTCCAGGCAGTGACTTGTTACACACCAGGAGGCAAAGAGGAAAGGCAAGCAGAGCTGGGTGAGTTTCCCACCAGAGTTTGCTAGGATGAGCTAGACTGGCCCCATGCACTCTGCAGTGCCCAATTCACCCTGTGGTGCCCCACGAGCCCCACAACACCCTGAGCACCAACACGAGCCCCATGCAACACTGCCAGCCCCACACACCCTGCTACGCCCCTGCACCAACACCAGGCCTGTGCACCAATACCAGCCCTTTACACCAAGACCAGTCCCTTGCACCAATGCCAGCCTCATGCACCAACAACACCAGCCCATTGCACCAATGCCAGCCTCAGTGCAGGTAGAGAATGGTCCAGAGGCTGCATGTCCTCCAGTCCACAGGGGTTACAGGTGATGTTCAGATGATGCTCTGCTGTATCAAGTGAAAAGAATAAATTTGTTACAGCTCTCAACTCTTCCACGGTGCCATGAAAATATTCCCAAGCAAGCCTGGGTAGAAAGGGTGTCTCCTTTCAGAGCAGACTCCAGCCCTCAGGTAAATTACATATTGGCAGTAGAAAGGATTAGAGGGAGTGGCGACCTGTGACGCTCCCAAATGCGTGGAGCCCAGGCAATAATAGCCCGACGTGGTGGGTGAGAGCAGCGCTCTCAGGCGGCAGGGACCTCCTGCCTGGTGTACATTGGGAAGGCAGCCTCTTCTGCTGAAGCCCCTGGACCACAACGGGTAATCCTTCCTCCTTGGGTGCCTCTGCCTTTGCACAGGCTGCTAGCAAGGGGCCATCCCAGGTGGATTCTTCCAGCAGGAGAGAGCTGTAGGTAGTTGAAGAGCCCTGCGGATGGAACAGTGGGGCTTCCCCAGGAGTCCTGGGTCTGAGGGAAAGTTGTTTCTGCTCGCAGGAGTTGCAGTGGGAGCGCTCAGGAATCAGGACGGTCCTGCTGGTGGAAGAGGTTTAACCCTGCTGCACCTTTCGGACATCATCGGGAGCTCTCAAGGTCTGCTGAGCTGGGGGATTCTTCAAAAAACAATATTTTTGCAGGTTGGCTGTTAGGAGGAAAGGACCATCCCGGCAAGGCTCTTCCCCTGAATTTGCATGCTGTTCTCATGACTTTATGACACAAAAATGCTTTCTGTCTCTCTGCTTTTGCTTAAAGTCTCAGTCTTAAGAGTAACAAGATCAGAGTTGTCTGGGGCTGGGAAGCTGCAGGAGGGCTGTGTTGAATGTGTGTGGCTGCTGTCCTTGCTACGCCTCCCACCTCGGTCTGTGTGTCCCAGAGACCCACATGCTTCTCAGGAGTGCCCCAGGAACAACCCCTCAACCTCCTTCCCCTGGGGAAGGAGAACCCTGCTGTACAGCAGGGATGTCAGCAGCAACTGGCAATACAATAAGGGGGTTCCAGCCCCAAACCACAGCCCAGAGGGTTCAGAGTGGAGATGAGGAATCCTTCGTCCCCCGAAGTGGGGAGCAGCCACGGGAGGTGAGGTGTCACCATTCTGGGGGGGGTCAGGGCTCTGCTGGGCCAAGCCACTGCCACTCCTCATGCTGGCAACAGGCTGTTGTGAGCTAGTGGGTGGACAAGGGGTGTCCCGAGGTCCCCTCCAGCAGTGCCTGTGTGATCCTCCACGTATCTGCTCTAGGGACAGCAGAGGGAGCAGGTGGCCTTCTCCCTAGCTGCAAAACCACCTCCTGCAGCATGGGAAGCCGGTTCCTCCAGCAGAAGGGAGAGGAGACTATAAGGATTAGCTGAAAAACAACAGAAACCTGCTTGCAGTTCTCCTTTCTTTAGCTGGGAAGATATTTTCCAGGAAAGAAATAAGATGGCTGCGAAATACATGGTGTTGGCATCCAGCCATGGCCTCTGCTTCCCCCACATTCAGTGGGGATTTGGTGGGGCTCCTTGCTGTGGACTCCACACAATTTAACTATTTAAGCATGTCACGTGACAGCTGAGGCAGTATTTCTGTTGCAAATTTGTTGTCTCCAACAAATAAAATGATAGCAAGATGGCTTGTGGTAGGAACATGCCAAAACAGATACTTCAAAATCCTTCCCAGGAAAAACACTGGGTCTCCTGGGACAGTATTTCACTTGGGTTTGCAAAAGCAACTTAAGTATGTCCCAGGGTCTCTTTCAGCCATAAGAAGAGCCCAACCAAATCCCATTATTTGATTTCATATTAAGAACCAAACCTCCATGGTCCTGCAACTTAAAATTGGGTAGTTTATTCCTGATTGGTCCAGTTATCAGTTCAACCAAATAATCTATTCTTCTGACCATCCAAGCCATCATTTTAAATGAATCCCCTCAAAGACCAGATTTGCCTGGGACAGCATATCTGTACACATACACATGCATTTTCCTGAACACAGGGATCTAATAGAGAATGTATGATTAAAATCTGATGAAGTTTGGACACTGGCATTTTTCAAGATAAGGAAAAGGAGCAATTTCTAGAACCAATTAGAGGATTTCAAATTTATAATTGTTTCACCTGTTGAGTGGTCAGATTGATATACTAACAGAAGCATAGTGCATGCCAAGTGAAATGTGTCTGTGTTGGTTCCATCAATGTCTCTCATGCTCACCATGTTGACTGTTTTGCAGAACGCCGTGATGTGGCTGTTCATCACTGTTGCTTATTTAACGTGCATCAGTGAAAAGTCAGATGCAAGCCCCGAGGTGTCCATGGATGTTGTAAGTCCTGACTTCTCTCCCTTCTTTTCCTGCTTGGGCATGCAAGCTACCCATGCTGCCATAGTCTGGACAGGATCCATTGATGCATGTGTCTTCAGCAGGGTTTGGTACCAGGGTTTTATTAGAACTCTTGTCTCCCTATGTTTACGTACATGGAAATTTATGGCAGGCATTTTATGGAGTTCAGCCAAGTCAACAGATTTGGTCAATGCAGCTGTCTCTGGCTTAGAGCTTTACTTCCATTGCTGCCCTGCTCTTCACAAATGTTGATTGCAACATGAAAAGCAACAATGGGTCTTTCATTACCAGACCTGCTCAGGGAGTGAGGGAAACTCACACCTGCCAAAAATTTTAGCTGAAGTCATGACATCACTGCAGCGTTGGTGGAAGCGACATTGGGAGGATCATACTCCACCCTCCCGCTGACAGCAGGAGTCTCCACCGCCGGCTCAGGGCAGCCACTGTTGGCTTCACCCAGCTGGTCTCCCTGACATCCTTCGGGACAGAGACCCCCACCTGTCTGAGGACGCATCCCATGCTGTGCTTTCCTTCTCACAGGGTGAAATTGTCCGCTACCACGGGTACCCCTATGAGGAGCATGAAGTGGTGACAGATGATGGCTATTACCTGACCATTCAGAGGATTCCTCATGGCAGAGACAACCCAGGAAGCATGAGTACCTCCCACGAAGCAGAGGCACAGGGCTCCAGCCTGTTCTGCCCCCGTAAGTGCCACAAGAAGTTCTGTCTGCTCCAGGGACCCTGAGAGCTTTGCTGGGCTGGAGTGGGCCATGGTCACGGCTGCCTCATCGTGGGCTGGGTCCTCAAGAAGATAACTTTCCCTGTAAGATTAGCCTCAGGAGCAGAAGAAATGCAAGTGCCCACCATACCAGACTTCTTGTTCTGAGAGGATCTGCTCCAAAGAGGAAAGAAAAGATAAGAAGAATGAAATGGACAGAGAAACCTTGCCACAGGTTTTACCCCAGCTCAAAGCCAGCCAGGGGAATGGCAAAAAGCATTTGTCAGCAAAAAAACCCCCATGTGTCCAATCCAATGCCATCACACCATTCTGGCTCCTTTCTGTTCTTCACTTGAACCACTGCTTCAAAATGGAGGGGGTGATGTCCCATTCTTGGCAGCATGTCCCTTTTCTGGGAAGCAGGAGGACTGGTGCATAAACATGGCAAATAAATGTAAAAAGCCAGATTTCTATTCAGGACACTTTGTTCTCAGCTGTCCAGGGTGGAAATGTGAGTCTTATATCGAGGGTTTAAAATCCAACAGAAAAAAAAAAAAAGAGACAACAAAGGAAGAAAAAAGAAAAAAAAAAGAGAGGAAAGTAACTTTTATTTGAATTTTTTCATGCTGCAACCTGTGGTTGCCCTACCATATGAATTCAGATATCCTTATGATGGCCCTGTTGTAGCTGTGACGTTGGACCTGCTTTGAGCAGGGGGTTGGAGCAGAGATCTCCAGAGGTCCTTTCCAAACTAAACCTTTCCATAATCTCTCTTCCACTGTCTTCCAATGGCACTTCAGGCTTCCTGGTCCTTTGCAAAAAAGACCTTAAGTTTGTTCTGGGGAGGTGAGATTCACCTATATGGCTGAAGTGGGTAGAAGTGGGTTGAGGAGATGGTCCTGACCCCTCTTGATCCGCGTCTCTTGCAAGGGGGCAGCATGGTGCCACCATGTCATGAGAGATACTTAGACTCTGCTGGGTTTTCAGTGTCTCTTGGTGGAACCCAGAGTAAGTGAGCCAAACAAATGGCGCCGTGATAAAGGTAGTCTCCATGTAAAGGGCACAGCCAGTGTCCAGATAGACTTGGGGCTTGGTTTCTTTCTTCCTGGGAGCGTGATATACCAGGGTCCATTCAGTGTGGAGTCCAACTATATTTTTCAGCTTTACTGTATCAATTATCTCTGCCCTGGGATGACCAAAGAGCCCACTTCAAAAACAGCTCTCCAAAGTGCCTGATGACATAGGTGGCCATCTCCTTGCACTGGAGTCACTTCCCCAGGGGGTTACTGGCAAAAGTGTTTCCTGGGTGTGAGTGGTCAATTTTGAGAGTGGTCAGAGAAAATGATCCTCCTCTTCTTTCTTCAGCTCCAAAACCCGCAGTACTCCTGCAGCATGGCCTGGTGTTGGAGGGAAGCAACTGGGTTACCAACTTGCCCAATGGCAGCCTGGGCTTCATCCTTGCTGATGCTGGCTATGACGTCTGGATCGGAAACAGTCGGGGTAATAGCTGGTCACGAAAGCACAGAGATTTTGAGTTTCACCACCAGGAATACTCAGCTTACAGGTATTTTCTGCAAAACTGAAGGGTGAAAATGTACCTGCTAGCCTCAGCAGTGCCCATAGGCTGGAGGAGCAGCACCACTGGCAGTTACACCATCTGCCAGTGGACATAAACCAACACCACCAAGACACCATAGGGGTGCCTATATCTTCCAGAGTCCTCAGCCACTCCCCAGTAGTCATGACATTACTTGCTGTGTTCTGCCTATTGTTCCCAAGGTCTGCAACAGCAATTTTGTCATGTGCCCATCTCCATTGCAGCTTTCATGAGATGGCCATGTATGACCTTCCAGCAACGATCAACTATATTCTGCAGAAAACTGGACAGGAGCAGTTATACTACGTGGCTTACTCTCAAGGCACCACCACAGGTACTTGAGCGGTGATCAGATCACTGTCAGAGTTATGTTCGCTGTGCCCCCCTGGTTTGGGAGTGTTCTCCTGAGAGCCTGGACGGGAGGGTAATGTTCAGTCATGTCCAAACCATGAAGAAGAAGAGCAGATAAAAATCCCTGTTTTCTTTAAGAGAATGGTTCTGAGCAATAACAGCCCAAAACAAGTTGCAGTGATGGGTTTTGGTGCATCCCACTGCTGCCAGAGCCTCAAGAAGGGCTTGCAAGAGCTGCAGCTGGGTTGACCAGTCAAGCTGGCAGCTGAAATATATCAGCAGCAAAGGCTTCAGGTCAAGTCACCAACCTGCTAGAGCCATCTCTGAGGGTCTTTCCAATGGGCACACTCACTTGGGAGTCAATAACTCCTTCAAAAATAACAGGGCAGGGTCTGCTTTCTTCTCCCTCCTGCAGGTTTCATTGCATTTTCATCCATTCCCGAGTTGGATCGCAAAATCAAAATGTTTTTTGCCTTGGCTCCCATTACGACAAACTCAAATATGAAGTCACCCTTGGTAAGGGTGTTTGACCTTCCCGAGAAGCTGGTTAAGGTATGTCCTCACCACATGCTCATCTGGTGTGAAAGCGAAGGAGGGACTGGGAAGGTCTTATCACCTGAGACATGCAGTACTTCACTTCCATTTCCCTGCACAATGTGTGCCCTTTGCATTGAGCAGGTACATTTGTGCCTACACTCTTGAGCTTGTGGGGCATTAAGCAGTGTAAAGTATTCTCCTGTCCAGCCCTAATCAGAGAAGAGCTATTTCTAGATATTGTGTTTGGGTCCATCCTCCTAGGAGAAACCTCCTCTAGGAAGATCAAGGCTCTTCCAAGGCCATGTCCCTTTCTGTAAAGCCAAAGTTATAAAGCACAACAAAGCTGTGGCAAGGAAGACAGCACCTGGAAGAAAAAGAGGAACATGAACAACACTAATCAACATCTTTGACTTTCACAGCTCATTTTAGGACACACGGTGGTCTTCGATAAGGGCGAGGTCTTGAAGCAAGTGATATCCGGTCTGTGCAGCTACCCCATTTTTAAAAGCTTTTGCTCCTTGGTCCTTTATTTGCCTGGTGGGTTTACCAGCAGCTTAAATGTGGTATGTACACTCCAGCTTACCTTTTAAGTGATCCCGTTTCTCATTGTTTGAGCTCGAGTTATCAACTAGCTGCCTTCACCTGGCATTCGCATCTTTGATTGGTCAGAAAATCTGGCCATTGTGTCAGCATTTTGCCATCTGGCCATTGCATTGGCCATTTCAATGCTCTTGCATTGGCACCAGAGGGAAGCCCAGAGTGCACACAAGGTCATGAGTTCACAGGGCACATTGTCTCCCCAGTGGGAAGGATGCCAAAGGGGAGAGTGCAGAAATTTACTCAGTGGTCCAGGTGTGTCTCAAAGGTTCTCTTTCACTAAGTGACTTGTGATTTCACATATGTTTTAATATCAAAATGGGCTCTTACGGAACAAACTCCCCTTCAATCTGCTGCTAGGAGAGGTGGATCCTCAGATTCTTCAGTCTGCCATCCCTTAGAACATGTTTATCCTCAAATCAGAGTCTTTGCCTTGGCCTCAATGCACTGAACACAGAGTCATAGAAAAATTCAGGCTGGAGGCAACAGGGTGGGGGGTCTCTGTCCTGCCCTCACTCCCACCAGGGCCAACACTGCAGCTACAGTATGTTCCTTGGAAACATGTCCAGGAGAGCTGGGTGGTCCCAATGATGTCCCATTCACATGGGGAAGGTCTATTTCCTTGGGGCTAGCCAAGATTTCAAGGTCCAGATCCTGCCACAAACGGCCTATGTGAGTAAAATTGGAGACAAGTCCACATAGAGTGCCAAGTAGTAATAGCTTGATCATGGATGGAGTCAGACCTGGGCCACTGTTTCTCAGAGAAAGTATTGGTGTATTTTCATAGTATTCCAAGGAGGAAATGCATTAGAAACATCACATAAAGCTACTGTTATGAGTTGCACATTGTCTTTGCAAAAGGATCCTGAGCACAAGGTACAGAGTTTTACTTTGGATTGAAAACCACATAGACTTATAACATGACCTAGCATCCCATGGGAATTCCTTGGCTAACTGAAGGGAGCTCTACAGCACCCTTCATGCTTCTGTCTGTGGTGTATGCTTGCACAACACATGGCTGAGCTGTGCCTTCACAGAGCTAAGAACAAGCAGCTTGTACAAATGCAAGCTCCAGCTAGCCTGTGTGAGTGAAAGACGTAGGTGGCTACTGAACAGGATCATTTTTATTTCTAATGGAATTTTCCTCCATGCAGAGAACAAATGTCTCCAATGGTTTCTTGCAGAGCCGCATAGATGTCTACCTGTCCCGCTACCCTGATTCAACATCACTAAAAAACATGTTACATTGGCGCCAGGTAATATTTCCTGCTGCAGAATAAGACCACATGCAACCGGTGCCCATGTTCTCTTCTTTCAGCTGCCAAGGAACTCTTCTCAGTGCTTGGGTATAATGCTCCATTGCTCTCCCTGCAAAGCTACATTAGAGAGAAAGGGGTAAAATCACATGAACCACTGGGGCAACTGCAGTTCTTTTGGCCATGACTTTAAACAAAAGATGACCAAGAGTCTTTGGAGCTGGTAAGAGATGGAGATGGAAGCAAAAGCTGGTAATAAACCAGCATGGGAGAAGCTAGAGTAAAGGCTAAGAGCTGAGGGTCAGTAGAAGCAACTAAAATCATACAACAACTAATCATTGAAAACATGCACAGACTCATATCCTTCTGTTGTAGACGTTGACCATGATAGACAAAGGAAACTTGATAAAGATCTGATCTGTGTCTTCTCTGAGGCTTGCTCTTGGTTCTATGTTAGGTGTACTGTTGGTTTCTGGAGCCTCAGCCTCCAGACATCTACTTCCACAGCTTGCCAGCCACCTGAGAGAGGAGGGATGAAAGACATGAACAATGCCAGGCAATCTTGCAGACCATGCTGAGATCTTTCTGGAGATTGAGGTCTCCTCTCTAAAGACAATGTCACAAGTAACAAATAGCATCCTCAAGCTTTAGTGGCAGAAGGGAGCAGTGTGGTTTCCTGGTCACCTCTTTTATTTTTCATATGGTCCCCTTTAATGCATGTATAATAAATACAACTCTTCTCCTTTTCCAGATCTATCAAACGGGGGAATTCAAATATTATGATTATGGTAGTGACAACATGCTTCATTACAACCAGGTAAGAGAAATTCATTTTCATTTGACAGTTTTAAAAGAGAAAAAAAATTACAATGAAAATATTGCAGTGGCTAAGATGGAATTTTATGTGATTTATAGAAGTTACATTATATGGTCAAATAGGTTTGTACCTTTCTTGCAAAAAAGAGTTCTGTGATATCTTTTAGTGATGACTTTTTGACCCTTGGTGAAAAGCACAGGAGCGCAAAGCATAGTCATAGACTCATAGAATGGTTTGGGTTGGAAGGGACCATAAAGATCACCTGTTTCCAACCCACCTCCTACTAGATCAGGTTGCTCAAAGCCCCATCCAGCTTTGTCTTGGACACCTCCGGGGAAGGGGCATCCACAGCTTGTCTGGGCAACCTGTTCCAGTGTCTCACCATCCTCAGAGCAAAGAATTTCTTCCTAATATCTAATCTAAATCGCTCTTTCAGTCTAAAACCATTAGCTGGTGTCCTATTGATACACCCCCTGATAAAGAGTCCCTCTCCATCTCTCCTGTAGCCCGCTTTAGGTACTGGAAGGCTGCTATAGGGTCTTTCCAGAGCCTTCTCTTCTCAAGGCTGAAGGAGTCTGGTGATGCCAGGTCAAAGTGGTGATAGTCAGGATGTCTGGTGATAGTTTCTGTACCATCTCTTAGTAGAGGGGAGAAATTCCAAGCAGCAATCAGGAATACTTTGAAATTTTGGATTACCCATGACCTCCCAGGCTTTTCTTCCTCAAACAACACTATTTGTCTTCCAGACCACACCTCCCTTCTATGAGCTGGAAAATATGAAAGCCCCACTTGCTGCATGGTATGGTGGCAAGGACTGGATTTCAGCCCCTGAAGATGTAAACATCACGCTGCCTCGTATAACCAATCTGATGTACAAAAAGTACATTCCTGAATTTGTCCACTTTGATTTCCTTTGGGGTATGCAAGCATATGAACAAGTGTACAAAGAAATGCTTGAACTGATGGAGAGGAGCACCTAGAGTCATGTCAGAGCTTCTTTTATTTGGGGAGGGAAAATAAAAAAAAAAGTAAAGAAAAAAAGACGGAGAAAAAAGACTCATTAAACTGCTACGCTTGATTTGGATCAATATTACTCTCACAAGTGAGGAAAACAAGCCAATCCAATGTTTGGGAAAGCACATAGGATTTAGGTTAAATAGGTTGAAATCCTTGCAAGAGGCAGACCCTGAATTTCCCAGGTGCCTCACTCAGATGGTCTTCTACAGCAAGCAATTTCAGTGGAATTTAGCTCCTGGTCACCCCTGAAGGGTCTGGCCCCTCTACGCTTGAGTTCCCAACTGCAAATACCTGGACAGCAGCTCACCTCCCTCCTGGATGCTAGTGTTTCACAAGAGTAGGTATACTTGGATGGGACCACATGGTGCGTTGAGTGATGAATCCTGCTGGTGTAGCTTTATTCACCTTCTGGTGACTCTTCCACACCAAGAATCCCAACATTGTGGGATTGCTCTACATACAGCTGGAAGGAGCTAGAAACTTTCTGCCTGGTGATAATGAAAAGACCTCATGTTTCATTTCCATGACAATTGTCCTTTTTGCTAATGTAGGAAATATCTTTCTCAAATTCATGTTGATTTGGATAACAACAGCCTTGCTTGTACACAAAAGGGTTTTCAATAAGTTCTACCATTTTAAGCAATATGCCCAAGACATAAATGCAGCTGGAAAGGTCACCTTTTGCCAACTTTCAGGAAATGCTTTTGTTTTCCTTATGTGAGAGAGAGGGGAAGAGTCTGGTCAAAGCCAGTAATAAGTCTAACTCCATTTTCAGCTTCTGGATTACACTTCTTAGTAATATATTGATTAGGGAGGAATTATGAATTTGCCTGGTTGTGTTACTATATTCTTAAAATATGCCTAGGAGCAAGCAAGGCAAAGGATAACGCCCTCTTTCCACAAAGATTTACAAATAAACATAATAATAATAATAATAATTGTAATAATAAAGTAAGATAGGGTCCACTGACCTCTGTGTGGTTGTACTGCCTTAAACCTCTGGAGGAGTATGGGGGATTTCAGCACAGACATCTTGTCATGCACAGGCTTGTCCAACACTCTCCCTGCTCAGGGATAACTTTCAGTGGCTTGTAACACTGGCAGATGCCCATGACCCATGATGCAACTCACATCACCCAGTCTGTGCCCTGCAAAGACGAGGTGGGTTGCAGAGGGCAGGTTGGGGGGTGAGGAGGGGTATAGAGACCAGGACAGCTGCTCTGCAGAGGCAAACTGTGGGTCTTAGCAGCACACTCTCATCCAAGTGTCTAGAGATGGTGGGATGGGGCTGTTGCTGCATGTCCTTGTAGGCCATGTTTCAGTTGTCATCAAAGGGGACTGGCTTGTGAAGGTGATTCACTTTCCATCCTTACAGCTAGAATTGACCACAGAAAAAAACGGGACGGGGTGAGGTAATCTCAGGGTGTAAGAGTTAGACTATACAATGTATGATAGATATGATCTATCTGGAGTGACAGATACCCTACTTAGTGTATTTGTAATGACATCTTTTTCTGTGTAATTAGTTATTTACTGCAAGGCTCTGCCCTGGAGCAGCATTCTTACAGGACTGAACTGTGTTCATGCCATGGATGTCAATGCAAACACAAGAAGACTTTTCTGTCTTTGCAAATAAACACCCAAAGCTAGGCAAGAGGTTTCCCCAAAAGACTTCTCAAAAGCTTGCAAGAACTTAGTTATGTTTAGGTAAAAAGTACTAATGTTTTACTTCTGAAAATGTATAAGAATTGCAGGGTTTAGTCTCTTCTCTTTCTGTTCAGGTTGTAATGTCTCTGCCACTTCTGTAATTATCTGATGCAAAGTTTGTATTGCATTGCCTTCATTCATTGGCTATCTCCCATGACAGAACATTTTGGTGAAGTTCTCTCCGAATCGGGTTCTGGAAACACTCTGCTCCCTGTGGCACTGGTACTTGCTTCCCATCTCCTGTTAAAGGATCAACAACAGTTGAAGCAGTGCATTTTGGAAGCAGACAGAATGGCAAATAATCAAGGTGCTTGCAAGATAAATATTGTGGTGTTCTGTCTTCTGAAGGCAGCACCAGGCCTTCACCACCTCGGTGAATATACTGATGACACAGCGGTGCTCCCTTCCTATTCTCCATGCATGAGCAAACCAACCTCAGTCATACGCCTGAACATACAGAGGATGGTGGTCATTCAGCCACTTAATTTTCTTCCAGATGTGCTTATGCAAAGCTATTCTTGATCTGCTTGTGTACAGCACACAAGGATAGAAGGGATTAAAATTGTGTCACACCGTGTTCAAAATACAGTAGTTGCACCATGTTTGCTGACCTATAATTTTCTATCATCATCAGGGGCAATCCAAAAAGGGGAGCACACACATGAACTGTGGAGCATATGGCCAGCTCCAGGCTGTGTCCACAGTGGAGAGGTGGTGAGCACAGTGTTCTTCCCACTTTTGAGGATTACGGACAGGCACATGCTTAAAGTGAAGTTGCATTTTGTAAGTAACCCTAGGATTGCTTTGGTGTCTGCTTTAAGCAATGCACCAGACTGTGCTCTTATTTAGAAACTGATTTGTACCAGTGTTAATCTAGGACAAGGTTTTGAATTATGTCAGATGGTGGGTGTACTGCCATTTCATGGTTTCAGAGTTTTATTCCGTTGAGGACTGTGGTAAATTAATGGAAGATTGACGAGGAGGACTGTAAACACACTCAAGTGACTCACATGTTGGGTGCTGGAAAACACATCTATCACACTAATTGTTATTTAGTTTTGTGTGCTCAACAAGTAGAACATCTGCACTCAGATAACACAGGCCTCGGATGGACTCAGGGGCACCTTATCAAACACGCCTGGGATTCCTGCCCTGCTGCTGAAAAGATCAAAGCACAGCAGAAAACTCTGCCTGCCTGAATCCTGGAAATACAGGCCCAAGCAGCAAGTGGGAGATCCCTCGCTCCCTCACTCCCTGGCTAACAAGGACTCTCTTGCTAATAAGGACTCTCGCTTCGCAGTGCCTTCATCCCCTGATTGCCTGCTTCTGCCCAGGGACTGCTTCAGAGGTTCCCTGATCCATGAGGTGTTGAGATTAATTTGTTCTTTGCCTTTAATCCATGGTTTTGTGGTTGTTCCTGCATCCTGCCTGCATCAACTCACACAAGAACACGTCGCTTTCTTATTTCACAAACTATGAGCGATTTCTGTGTTATTTCCTATGTTATTTCCAGATTTTCTTTTGAGATTTTGAGATGAATGGTCAGAAGAGAGACCCAATAACTGTTCTCTGAGACTTGCATTTTTGTATATTGGTACTTTAAGCAGATGGGAATGGGATAAGGTCATGGAAAGTTATGGTTAGCCAAAATCATGATAAGATATGACTTCCTTCAACACTCTTCACAAGCCTTTGTTGGTGTCCATTCCTGACCTAGATCATGTCATGTGGGACATGTTCCCTGAAGGTCTCTGATAGCCCTGATCAGGGCATTGGCTAAGCTGACCAAATCAGCTTTTCTTTAATACAAAGACCACTATGATACCAAATTTGAAAAATATTAGTATTTCTTTATTGAGAAGGTTTGATAAAGTTGCCCCAGGTCTGTTCATGAACAGACCAAAATCTTTTAGCTTTAAAATACTCCTTAAAGTTAATTGTACAATGAAGAGAGATCAGAAAAGTACAAGTTCAGGGTTGTTCTGGGGTTCTCTCAACAAAGAAACAGGGGAAGAATTAGCTGAAACTCGCCATTGATGACCACATTTCAGTTATTTCACAATCATTTTAGGAACATTTATGCTTTTGTTGATTCAGTTTCATTACTGTGTATGAAATGATTGCATGAACAATTCCAGCAAGGTGTTGTGAAAGGAATTAGTTGTTTCATCAAGCTTCACTGTAACTCTAGCATGCGTAAAACTCCTACTTAACTCCTACTTAATCAGAGATGCTGGAGATATCTCAGCCATGCTGAGGGGCTTTAAACTAGGAGAGGTACAGCCAGATAAGCACTGCTTTGCTTATCATGTTCTTTACTTGGGCAAGGTTCTTTTCCAAGGTTACTGCAAGGGAATCATGCTTATCTGGCAGGAATTACGCAAGAGTTGATGTTCTTTTATTGCTAAAATCAGAATGATACTCTTTCCCAGTTCAGGATGTCAAGACCAGATGACAGCTAGTTATTAAGCATCTCCCTACTTTTGTGTTTGGCAAGAGGTATTGGATAGAAGGTAACTACCAGCATCTTGGGCACACAGTCGGGCGGCTTGTATGTCCATGAAAGCGCCAGGGGACAGACCAGAGAAGGACTTAGAGGAATGTTATGCAAGGGCATGATTAACACCAATCAAACTGGTAAACAATGAGGAATGTGTTGCTTGCACTGTGATGCACCACAGAGGTGACTCATCAGCAGAAGACCTGCACCTGTTAACAAAATGACAGCAGCGGGAATACAGGACATTTCACGGGCTGTTTCTCTTCCTGTTATCCCAACAGCAGGATGGGTTACAGTCCCATTATTCCTCAAACAAGAACATGAAAGACACCCTACAACAATGTTGCCTAATATTTATATAGTGTGAGGCTAACAAGATGCAGAAGTAAAACATTATGCCATGGTAACTTTTGACTCTTAAAGGACCTTAGAGGTCAAGAAAGAGGTGGCCCATGGGCCTCAAGCAGAACTCATATGGAGGCATCAGTAGCTGGCAATCCTTGCCTTTCATGTCACACTCAGGGGACCTCAGCCAGACCACTTGGGGATCCACATTTTGGCCCCTCTGAGAATGTGTGTGTGAGAGTGCTGGTTGGTACAGTCTACTTTGCTAGAAAGTTAAAAAAAAAGTACCTTTCTGTTTCTAAACTGCCAGTTTTAGAAATGGAAAAATGGAAGAACCAGGGAACTACAAACCAGTCAGTCTCACCTCTGTGCCTGGCAAGATCATGGAGCAGAGCCTCCTGGAAACTCTGCTAAAGCACATGGAAAATAAGGAGATTATTGGTGACAGCCAACATGGCATCACTAAAGGCAAATTGTGCCTGATGAATCGGGTGGCCTTTTACAATGGGCTGACAGCATTGGTGGATAAGGGAAGGCAACAAACATCATCTACGTGGACTTATGCAAGCATTTGACAATGTCCTG